CTAGACTCAAGGGTTCCCACCTTTGACCTAGTTGTTTTGGTGCTAGGTTAGCATAGAGACTAGCTGGCTTCAGAGTGCTGCATTCCACAATACTTCCATGCTACAGGCTGAATGTCTGTGTCCCCCCAAATTCATATGTTGAAACATAATCCCTAATGTGATGGTGTCAGGAGGTGGGGCCTTTGGGAGATGAATAGGTCATGAGGGTACAGCACTCATGAACGGATTTAGAGCCCTTGTAAAAAAGAGACTTCAGAGCATTCTCTCACCCCTTCCACTATGTGAGGAAAGGGTGAGAAGAGGGCAGTTTGCGAACAAAGAAAGGAAGCTGTCACCAGACATGAATCTGTCAATGTCTTGCTCTTAGAATCCCCAGCCTCCAGACTGTGAAAAATAAATTTCTGTTGTTTGTAAGCCTCCCAGTCTATAGTATTCCTGTTATAGCCACCTAAACAGACTAGGACCTCAAGTCAACAAATCCAAAATCGAAGTCATCCCCTCTCTCCGAAAATGTGCTCCTCTTCCAGCATTCCTCATGTGTCAGTGCTACCACTACTCTTTATCATCATCCTTGTAGCCTCCCAGGCTGAAAACGACAAGTTGCCTTTGCTCCCTCGACCCCTCAGCCCTCACAGTGCCAAATCTGGTCAATTCCTCCAAAACATACAACCATTCCCACAGGCATGCTCCAAGTTCAAACAATTACATCCTCTAAAGTGGACAATTACAATATCCCTCTGACTGATCTCTCTGCCTCCTTACTTTCCCCTCACTGATCCATTCTACAAATTTTCCTAATCATGTAACATGAGCATATCTCAAGTCACTTTCTTGCCTAAAAACATTCAATGGCCCTCCACAGCCCAAAGAACAAAATCTAAACTTAAAGGCGATTCACTCAGCACATGTAGGATACATTGGACATACTCAATCTTTTCTCTCCCCTAAACTTTATTCTGGCTTCCAAGGCCTCCATCGACCTTTCCAAATTTATTTCCTACCCCTCATCCTTTTCCTCCAAACAAACTCATTTCCCATTCCTCATATTAACCCCCTGCTTTCTAACCTTTCTACTCATGTTGTTCCCTTCCCTACAAACTCTAATACCGGAAAGAAGACTCTTTGTTCCCCCCTACCTTTGGTCTTTGACAGCCACCTATCTCCCCTACTCAGCATATCCCAACCACAGTGGCCTTCTCGGTCACACAGCACAGGCTCCCTTCAGCTCGGGCACCTGCCCTTGCCCGGCCTTTTTTCTTCCTGGAAAACTGTTCCACCCTGGTCTTGGCAGGGGTGATTCCTTTGTCATTCCTCCCAGTGGGGCTTAAATGTCACCTCCTCAGAGTGGACCCTGACCACCACTCTATTTTCACTAGTCCTTGTTCTTTTCATGTGTCAAAATAACCAAAATAAAAGAATGAAAATATTGTGTAGCACCTATGAAAGGCAGAGAAATTAATATCATCATTAATATCTTTAATACACAACACGGTAGTACAAAAGTACAGTTGGCCCTTGAACTGCATGGATCCACTAAGACATGGATTTTTTTTCAATAAATACAGGTGGCCCTTTGTATCCCCCAGTTTTGCATTCTTGGATTCAACCAACCGCAGAAAGAAAACAGTATTTTCGCATTCCCAACCGTGGATCCAAAATGCTGTTAAATAGTGTGTGTGTGCGCACATACAATTCTGATACTAAGTCCAATGTGTGTGTGTTTTTAACACGCCACCAAGGAATTCTGTGACACCAGCTGGGTGTCCTACAATTCAACTCAATGCTAAGACTGTCCACCTAGAGGTTACCTCAGGTTCCAGAACTTAAGGGCTCAGTACCACAAGCCCGCCCCCATCCCCCAATTCAGATGACAACTCCAAGTGCAGGCTGTCACCTGTGCTTCTGATTGACCAGCTAAAGATCAGAGTTTCCCATAACCCCCTCCTTGGGTTCAATTAATTTGCTAAAGTAGCTCCCAGAACTCAGAGAGAGAAACATTTTACTTACTAGATTACCATAGAATATAACTCAGGAACAGCCAGATAGAAGAGATGCACAGGGCAAGGTATTGTAGGAGGGGCTGCGGAGCTTCCATGCTGTCTGAGCACACCATTCTCCCAGAATCTCCACCTGTTCAACCAACCTGGAAGCTCTCTGAACCCTGTCCTTTTGGGTTTTCATGGAGGCTTCATTAAACTAGCATGGTGATTAAATCACGGGCCAGTGGTAATTCATTGAATCTCCAGTCCCTCTCCCCTCCTCAAAGGTCAGGGAGGTGGGATTAAATGTTCCAACCCTCTCATCACAGGGTTGTTCTGGGACCAAGCTCCCATCCTTAAGTGACTTAGGAACTTCCAAAAGTCAACATTAACATTTCAAAAGACACTTTTATTGCTCTCTTCGCAGGCAATTTCAAGGGTTTTAGGAACTCAGCCAGAATTGGAACAAAAACCAAATATGTATTTTTTTATTATAAATCACATCACAGTAAGCCTGCGATTTTAGCATGACACCCATGAGAGTATAACCTAGTAATTTGAACCATGCATTAAAAATCCATTAAAGTGTTCATATCTTTGAGTCAGAAATATCCCTGGGACTTTAACTTAAAAAAATAATCCCAAATACACAAGAAATACAAAATGTTTCTATCTGCATTATTTATAACATTGCAAAACTGTAACAACTAAAGGATAACGGCAATTAAAGTTTCCATTTATAGCCCAGTGCTTCTCAGTTTTCAGAGACTGTGGTAAGTACATCATACCCATTATCCTTATTTAGCCCTCATAACAATCTTCTGAAGCAGATCTTATTATTAATTCCTTACTTATAAAGAAATTGAGACTTACAGATGGTAAGTGATGAGTCTAAAGTTATAGAAGTAGGGCCAAGACTGAACCTAGGACAACTGATTCTAGGGCCAAGATTTTAACCACTCAATTAAGTGTTTCTACTCCACAGAACGTGTCTTCTAAAGAAGGTTATAAAAATTATATGACAATATGGGAAAATATTTCTCATTAAATAATGTAGATTATATTTGTATTACAACTACAAAAATTTAACTCCACTAATTTTATTAGAATAATTTAATTCCACTAAACTAGATGGAAATATCTGGAAGGATACACCTCAAAATGTTAGCATTACAGTAATACGTGGTGAGATTACTTGTTTTTTTTTTTTTTACTTTTTCTACTATCCAAAATATCTATGATGTTTTTATTTTTATAATGAGAATAAACATTAAAATATGATTAGGGCTGGCCGAGTGGTGTGTTGGTTAGGAACTGGCTTGGGATGCCAGAGGGCCCCGGTTCGGATCCCATATATGAGGGCCAGTGACGCTGCCCTCTACAGCTAAGATGCTGAACAACAGCTCAACCTGGAGCTGGTCTGCCATGAGTCACCAGCGACAACTAGTCTGCAGCCCCTGCTGCAGTGGGTTGCCATGGGCTACTGTGTGTAGCCAGCAGCCAGTGTGAGCGGCCAGCAGCCGCAGTGAGTAGCCGTCCAGAAGCCGGTGACTGATCTGCCTCACCTGGGAAGAACGCAATGATGGTGCCAACTTGGGCCAGTGAAGCAACGTCCTCCACAGGTAGACTGAAGAACAAAAGGACAGCAACTTGTCTGTTCCCCTTCCCCCAATTCCCCAGCGCTGTTCCCATCCCCCAATTCCCCAATAAAAATCTTTAAAAAAAAATATGATTATCATTTTACTAAAATTTTAGCAATTTCACAATTATGTAAGGGAGTTAATAAGACCTCTCAATTTCACAAGTATTGGGCTAAAGTTGCTTTGCTCTGAAGACAGAATTCGAGGTTTGTGATAAGAAAACATTGCTATTCACTTTTATGGTATCTACTGTTTCACAAAACTGGGACACCTCATAGCAAATTATTTCTACATGCATTTTAGCACATTGCTTAGAAGGGAAGCTCTGGAATATGAATAATTCCAAAGGTGAAGCTACTACTAACTTACCTGTTGTAACCTTGGAAAAACTATCTAAAGACCTCAGTTAACCTAACTGAAAAAATCTCAATAAAAACATTACTGACATCTTTAAGTTTGTCTTAAGCATCAACTGAGATGAGAATGTAAATGTCTGAGCACTGTGCCTGCTGGAGGTAAGCACTCAATAAATAGTCATTCTTATCATTCACAAGTAAAGACAAACTTTAGCTCTAGCACGGAAGAATTTACTAGACACGGAAAAGATAACCGTTTTCTTATTGTTTCCAATGTTCTGATGACAGACACTGGATCTTTTCGAGATTGCATAAAGCTTGCTGACGAAATTGTAAAAGTCATACAACTGTCATACTCTGAAGTGTGCTACACGTCCTTCGTACCGTTGGAAGCACGAGATGGCTTCTTCCTCCCTTCACCTGCCACCTGCATGGATTCCACTTCCCTGGCTAAGTGGCAACCTGCCCCAGCACGAGTTCAGTACTAGGCTTAGAAAGGGAGCCTGGACTCCTTCCCATCTCTAGAAAGAACCTATTCTGTGACCTTGGGAAAATCAATTCAGTTACTTACTTCCTCGGTTTTCTCTAACCTGCCAAAGGGTGGGGTGGGGGGGGAGATCTTTCATTTAAATACCACTGCCAATAGTTAGTGGCCCAGCTCCAGGCAAGCTGGGACAACACCTAAAGCCAGGGTTGGGAAAACAAGGATGGAGAAAGAGGCGTTCCTAGGAACCACCCTGCCACCTCAAGCCCTTCCAGAACGCAGCGTGTCCTCTCACCCATCTCGAGGGCGCCAAGGGGCTGCCTCTCAAGGGTTGAAAAGTCACAAAAATAGAGCGAGGAGGAAAGCACAGTCAGACCCTAAGGTAGGACGAGGCTCTAGAGAGCAGGGCAGGGATTACGCCGGGACGCAAGATCGGCCTGCCTGCCCCCACCCCGGACCTCCGGGCGGCTTTCCTTGAGTGTGCCCGCCCGCCTGGGAGTCTGAATTGCAGCGGGAGCAGAAAAGGCAGGTCCTAGCTCACCGTACTCCTGGGGCTCCGGGTCAGGCTGGAAAGTGAAGTGAGCCACCTGCCGCCTCTGGGCCGCATCCCTGCAGGCCGACGGAGGCCGCAGGAAGCCCCGCAGCAGCCCCGCGCCACGCAGCCGACGCCAATGTCCCTCGGCCCCGGCAGCACGGAACCGCACCAGCCAGCCCGCAGTCGCCACTACGGCAGCCATCCCTACTCGCCGCCGGGGTTTGCAAGCTGCGCCGCCGCACAGTGCCGGCCGGGAGGGCGGAACACCGAGGCGGCTTCCTCATTGGGTGGGCCGCAGGGGCGGTCCGGTGTAACAGCACAATCGGAGCTCCGGATTCAGGGGTGGGAAAGGCGACACGGCAGGCCTAGCCGCGTTTGCCTAATCGTGCGCATGCGGAAGAGGGTCTGGGTCCCGTGGGCGAGTGGGCAGGTGAGCTGCAACGAAATTGATCCTGGAGACGGAGCCTTTCCCAAAGCTGGCTGAACGTGTCCGGGACCGGACGCGGCTCTGCAAGGTTCCACACTGTCCTTGGATTTGTTCTTTTCCAATGTCATTCCCATTGTCAGTTCCGACGGCCTTTTCATTTTAAGATTTACGTTTTCTTTTGACATGTAACCCTCTTTTATCCTCTCCTGTTCTTCTGTATCTTATAAGTAAGAGATGGAACAGTTATTGACTGGCATTGGTGATTGGTTTTGGGTTTCAGAAAACTTTAGGAATCACTGCTGAAATCCTCTGCTCTTTATTCAAACCCTCCATGAATGCTTAATAAATCCGTATAGATTATTATTTTTTCCGGATTTAGATGAGAGTGAAAGAGGTAAGAAGTTAGATTTCAATTTGCAAATCTACTTGATAGGAATTTTGCTCAAGTGCCGTGAAAATAACCTGACTGGTTTACTCTAATTCGCTTAGAAACCTTGAGAATTTGAGTCATTAATTTACACTTAAAATAATCAACTTTGTAAATTTATTTGTAAAACTCCACATGTTTACAAGGATACCTTCTCTGTCCATGAATTTACAAAATCACAGTAAAATGTGGCAAGGACAAGAGTGGAAGTGTTTCCATTAGATGAAGGTTAGGAAGGTGAGAAAGGACAGACCCAAAATTTTGAAGGTCTTCATATGCTGGTGTAAGAAGTTCGAACCTGCAGCTATATGCAGTCCGGAACAACAACGAGCACCAACAGATTTGTCTGGCCAGCAAATTTTTTTTTTTTTGAGATTTTCCCCTATTTCCCACCACACCATTTGCCTGGTAACCATGGAACTGTCTATGTTATTAAAGTGGGACCCACCTTGGCCACATTTCATTGATACTAAGTTGGGAAACTGTCATTTTCTGGGAATTTTGGAGGCGTAATTTAGAAAGATAGGCAACGCTGCTGTTCATTCTTCGGGATGACTCCTGGCTCGCTTGCTGTCACTCGGCTTCACTGCCTGCGCAATCTGTACCTCTTTGGACTCAGCTCACTTTTGGACACCCCTCTCATATAGCAACACATTTTGTAGTATTTTGTCCTTGTATCCTATTAACATTCAAACTCCACCAGAGGCATCGAGGAGGCAGATAGCAAAGGAGTCAAACTCTTTCTTTTGAATATTAAAATAGATTTTAAAGCCCATGGCAGAGATGATAATTGGAGAAAAGAGTTTGAGTTTTAAAGACTGGTTTCTGAGTACTAATCCTCAAGAAGCTGAATGACTTAGGGTACAGATTTTATGACTAAAACAAAAGGTCATAAAGAGCATGCTAATTCAAGAGCCAGTTTTCCCCATCTCCCGTAGAGGCAGAGCCATAGAACACAAAGAACCGTAGGTATCTGTGTGTGTAGATGGGCCTGGAAGAGTATCGCAGGGCCCTTAAACTCACCACCATGGCATAGCATTTGGAACAGCAAAATGCTTCCCTCATATGCCAAAAGAGATGCAGGTATGACATCGGGGTCCAGCAAACTTGAGGAGGCCCAGCAGTCAGAATGATAAGGGACTTGTATCAAGAGTATACTTTTGAAAAACCCTTAAACTTAACAATAAAAAGATAACATACCCAATAAAAAAATAGGCAAAGGCTCCCATTCATTGGTGGTGGTAATGCAAAATGGTACAGCCACTTTGGAAGATAGTTCGGCAGTTTCTTATAAAACTAAACATACTCTTACTATATGAGCCAGCAATCTGCTCCTTAGTATTTACCCAAAGGAGTTAGAAACTTATGCCCACATGAACACCCGCCCGCAAATGTTAATTGCAGCTTTATTCATAATCGCCAAAATTTGCCAAAATGTCCTCTTTCAGTAGGTGATTTGATAAATAGACTGTGGTACATCCAGACAATGGAATACTATTCAGTGCTAAAAAAAAAAATGAGATACAAAGTTATGAAAAAAATATCATAGAGTAACCTTAAATACATATGATTAAGTGAAACAACTCAATCTGAAAAAGCTACCTACTGTATGATTCCAACTATGAAGTGTGATTAAAAAAAATACAGTGAATGTTTAAATTAAAAAAACTGTATTATAGTAAAAGATACATTGCCATTAATCCCCCTCAAAATAAGCCCCTCGTTTTCAATACATTTATCCCATTGTTCTTGCCACTTTCTGAAGCAGTTCTGGAAGTCCTCTTTCGTGAGTGTCTTTAGTTGTTCTGTCGTGGCTGCCTCGATGTCCTGAATCGATTCAAAATGTTTTCCTTTCATTGTCATTTTAACTTTGGGCAAGAGCCAGGAGTCGCACAGTGCCAGATCCGGTGAATAAGGTGGATGAGGACACACCGAATGTTATTTGACAGAAATTGCTGAAACAGAAGCAATGTGTGACAAGGAACATTGTCATGATGGAGGATGAAGTAAAGACAGTCATGAATGAGGACTTCCAGAACTGCTTCAGAAAGTGTCAAGAACAATGGGATAAATGTGATTGAAGTGAGAGGGGGAGTATTTTGAGAGGGATTAATGGCAATATGTCTTTTTTTTTATTTAAACATTCACCATATTTGTTGATTACACCTCATATATGACATTTTGGAAAAGCAAAAACTATAGGACAGTAAAAAGATCATTGTTTTTCAGGGGTTGGGGTGGGGAGAGGGATGAATAGGCATAGCACAAAGGATTTTTAGAACAGTGAAACTATTCTGTATGACACTGCAATGGGACATTCATGTCATTGTACATTTATCAAAATCCATAGTCTGTAAAACACCAAGCACAAACCCTAATGTAAATTATGGACTTTGGTAAATGTGTGTGTGGGTTCACTGATCATAACGAAAGTACCACTCTAGAATGCAATATGAATAATGGGGAAGTCTGTGTTAGTGTGAGGGCAAGGAGTATATAGGAACTCTTTGTACTTTCTGCTAAATTTTTCTGTAAATCTAAAACTGCTCTTAAAATAAACTCTATTTTTTTAAATGGGCACAGGTTTTAAGTAGACATTTCTCCAAAGAAAATATATTGGGTTGTCGGAAAAGTCATGTTGTATTTTTCTAGGTTTTTCAAAGGTCATTTATTTATATAAAGAACAGAGATCAATCAATGATATATTGCCCGTTTTGTTCGATAATATTTTGCCATCTTTTAGTGAGCTTCATAATTCCTTGTTCACAGAAGACCCTGTCTTTATTTGCGAAAAACTGAACAAGGTGCTGATTTACAGCCTCATTTGAATTGAATGTTATACCACGCAAGGAGTTTTGAAGACAGCAAAACAAGTGGAAGTCTGATGGCACAAGGTCAGGTGAGTATGGTGGGTGTGGCAACACATCCCATCCAAGCTCCAATAATTTTTGACGGGTGATCAAACTTGTGTGTGGTCTCGCATTGTTGCGATGGAACACAACTCCTTTACAATTAACAAGCTTTGGACGTTTCTGGATGATGGATTTGTTCAAACTGTCCAATTGCTGACAGTACACATTTGAATTGATTGTTTGGTTCCTTGATAAGAGCTCAAAAAACACGGCACCTTTAAAATCCCACCACACTGAGAGCATAACCTTCCTTTGGTGAATGTCTGCTTTCAATGTCGTTTGAGGCATATCATCATGTTGGAACCAAGGCTGCTTGTGCACTGCATTGTTGTAAACAATCCATTTCTCATCACCAGTTATCAGTCGCTTCAAAAAAGGATCATTTTCCTCACATTTAATGAGCATATTGCAGATGTTAATACGCATCATCAAATGAAATTCTTTGAGTTCATGCGGAACCCAAATATCGAGCTTGCTTACATATCCTAGCTTCTTCAGGTGGTCATGAATGCTTGAATGATGGATGTTCAATGTTTCTGTAATCTCTCGTGTCATGTTACGTGGGTTTGAGTCGATTAATTTTGTCATCAATCAACCTCGGTGGGCCTCCCTGACCAAGGAGCGTCGTTGAGATCAAAATCACCAGCACGGAATTTTATGAACCATCGTTGGCACTGATGTTCTTGTAGAGCATTGTCACCATAAACTTTATGCAACTTTTCATAAGCTTGATGCACGTTCTTCCCTTAATGGAAGTAAAACAGTAAAATATGTCAAAAATGCACAGTTTGGCCTTCCATCTTCAACTTGTAAAATCTCCAAAACTCAACCAAATCACTCAATTTTCTTTTAGAATGAAGCTAGAACTGTCAGCTGTCAAATGACATAGCAATAACATAGATGCGAATGACTTTAGTACTTCCAAAAATGAGCTAGTGCCATCTATTGCAAACATGTGCCATGACTTTTCTGACAACCCAATACAAGTGGCCAATAAACACATAAAAGATGTTTAACATTATTACTCATTAGAGAAATGCAAATCAAAACCACAATGAAATGTCACTTCATATCCACTAGGAAGGCTGACATAAGATGTCTATAACAAGTGTTGGTTAAGATATGGAGCAATTGGGATGCTTATACATCACTGGTGGGCAAGTAAAATGGGGCTGCTGCTGTGGAAAATAGCGTATCATTCCTCAAAATGTTAAGCAGATTTTCCCAGAAATTCCACGCCTAAGGATACACCCAAGAGAAATGAAAACACACAAAAACCTGTACACAAGTAAATATTCATAGCAGCATTGTTCATAGTAGCCAAAAGTGGAAACAAACCAAATATCCATCAACTAATATAGATAAAACATAGTATATCTCTACAATGGAATATTACTTGCCAATTAAAAATAAATGGGTACTGTTACATGGATGAACCTTGAAAACATTATGCTAAGTGAAAGAAGCCAGTCACAAAAACCCACATAATGTACAATTCCACTTATATGAAATGT